CATCCATGCTCTGGCAGATATCTATGATTTATTTTCACGAAATTTATTATTAATTTTCCTTGTTTGTTTATTGACACCGAAAGAATGGAACAACAAATGCCCGAACACGACGGCGAAGTTTTCGTCCAGGATGTCGAAGTCGAGCGCGCCGGGCTGGCCGGTGCCGAGGTAGCTGAACGTGACCACCCAGCCGCCCTGCGACTGGCCGGCCGTCAGGCCGGCGGTGGGCAGCAGGCCGTCGAGGTAGCCGCGGGAGGCCAGGGTGGTGTCGGGCTGCACGACGAGGCTGTCCCAGCTGGCGGGAGACGCCTGCAGCGTCAGCGAGGCGAAGCTGGTCTCGGGGAAGTAGACGCTGAACTCGGAGACGCTGGGCGGCGTGCCGTCGGCATGCAGCGTGAAGGCCACCCGCCAGTCCGTGCCGCCGAGCCATTCATAGACGGCATCGATGCCGGCGGCCTGCGCGGAACTGCAAGCCAGCGCGATCGCGCACACACCACTGGGCCATTTGACGGACTTCATCGGGACTCTCCGGTTGCGCAGCCGTGCCCACGTGGGCGCTGGCGAGGGGTCCGATGCTAGGCAGCCCGTCTGGAGCGGCCATCCTTCTGCTTAGGGAAAACAGGCCGTTTCGGCCCTGCGATTCGTGGGGGGTCAGCAGACCGCCGGGGCCGTGCAGGCCGACGCGACCTGCGTGCCGTCGGCCGCCGGGTTGCGCTTGCCCACGACGACGACGCGCGGCAGTTGCTGCACCTGCACCTCGGCCGTCTGCGGCTCGGCGCGGCGGCCTTCGATGACGACGCGTTCGAGCTGGATGACTTCTTCGGCCGGCACGTTGAGCGTCATCCACGTGGCGCCGGTCAGCGCGATGAGGGCGACGAGGACGGCGGCGCTGGCGGCCTGCAGGCGGCTGGCGCGGGTGCTGGTGGTGCTGATGCGGTTCATGTGTATGGCTCCCGTTTGATCTGCGTCGCACTGTGCCCACTCAGGGTTTGCCCGTCTGCGGGTTTGCGATAGGCCGCGGCTTTTCGCGGACGAATTGCGGCTGGGGAGGATGAGAGTTCCTAATCAAGCCTGTGGGCGGCGCGCGCCCGGACGTCATGGCGAGCTTGCATACTGCGCGCGCTCAAACTAGGGAGAGAACACATGGCACGCGGTAACGACGTCCAGCTGGGCGGCATCACGGACCTGAACCTGCTGGCGGACATCAAGCCAGGCTTTGTCGACGCGCTGGAGGTCGTCACCTACGTCGACCGGCTGCGCAAGGTGCTGCGCACGCTCAACGGCCTGCGCCTGGGCTCGCGCGAATCGAGCGCGCCGGCGTCGCCGTACACCGACATCGTCGCCCGCTGGCGCATCGTCCACTCCTTCCGCTGGAGCATCGTCGACGGCAAGGACGGCGCGCCCGACCGGCTGCTGCTGTCCGTCAACTTCGACGGTGGCTGGGAGCCCTACATGCGGGTCATCTGGGACCAGCTCGGCTCCACGCTGGACCTGATGCTGTGCCACACCGAGAACTACACGCTGTCGCGCGACTGCAGCTTCGAGACCTACGCGCGCTGGGTGCGCGAGCACGAGGTGTCGGCCGACTTCCTGTTCATCGAATCCGGCCGCACGGTCAGCGACGCCGAGTACCTCGCCAAGCTGGAGGCCGCCCAGCGCGGCCGTGCCAACGAGCTGGCCTTCAACCGCCTGC